AATGTGATACTGGCCTTATTTCTGATCTTTACTTGACCAACCTGTTTCATTGAGTGCATTTTGTTGTCCAAGGGGATCAGTAAGAGGAGTTAAGCGTGTACAGTGATTACCCTTATTTACATACTGTAGATGATTTAAAAAAAACACTAGAAATCTGCCTGTTTTTCCCCTGAAAACAAGATGAAGTGTAAATATTAGCTTAATGCTTTTATCTGAAGACAAACTCCTGAACTGAAATGGTTTTCGGTCTTCCTGACCAACAAACCGTATTTTGATATGTTTTGTTTTGTTTGTTTGTTTCTTCTTTGGCATATTTTTTTAAGGTACTTCTGTTTGGTCTTGCCGTTAACCGACCATCTTTGGTACTTGTGTATAATGATGTACATTTAACATATTTATAATGCAGTATGTAAATATATTTTCTTGTTTTTGTTTTGTTTTTTGCTCATTTTCCTATTGTAATTCCTTTACATTCAGAACGTGAATCAAAAGCTAAAGAATAACTTGTTGTATGCTTGGATGCTTGGCTGACAGTTGACCTATTAATAAACACTCAAATAAAAACGATGTAGCCTTCCCTGGATTTAGGGAAATCAACGCATTTGTCTTGTGTATGTGTGTGTGTGTGGCTCACTCATTATCCATCACACTCCTGTCTCTCCCATCTCTTGTCTTGCTGTGCCTTAACGGTGAAGGTGAGGCTTTCTTTCAAATTAGAAGTCGCGTTTCCTCTTTTGCGTGTCCCTTCATCAAACTTCGTGTCCGAAACAACTCAGCCAGGCCTGCCTCGAGGTAAGTGAACCACCCTCTTCACTTCCTGCTCGAGGGACCCCCAACAGTTGCTGAAAGAGGATTAAGATAAAGAGCTGGGCTTAGTGTCAGGCAGCACAACACTGTGGGGAAAACTGAAAGATCTGTGTTCAGAGGAGTCAAGCCCTCACTAATCCACTTCTTATTTCCTGCTAATCTTGTCTCAGCATATCTTCATCCCCTTCCTCTTTCTGTTGGCCAGCATTGTTTGCTCTTTATCACCTGGTTTCTCTTTAGTTTCTCCTCTTCCTCCCTCAGCGCTGCCTTGAAATGGAGACCGACTCCCCCATGTCACGCTTTAAAGCTCTTAAAAACAAAATTTCTCAACCAACTTCCTTATTAGTAATTGGGTAGTATTGTTCTTGCTTACTTCACCTTGCGGATTAGTGACCTTCCTCTGGAGTCTCCTCAGAGGGAGGAAATTAATAGGGCTAATTTAGAATAACATTATCACCAGCTATCCTTTAGCAGCATTAGATGGGAGGTGTTCGGTTGCTGTCATGAAAAATCGAATCCTTCTCACATTCCTTTGAACTTATTTTCGTTTATACTCCTTCTCTTTTTGGCCTCTATGGACTAATCATGAGATATATATCTAACGATTCCTCCAGTTTGGCTTTCGATACCAATGAGCAACTATTTGGAGGAAAAGTTCAGTTTACAAAGAGCTGAGAGTTAACTCAGATTAAGGTAGCAGGCCATGAAACCCAGGGAATGTAAAAAAATGATATCAAATGAACCTTTAAAGGTAGTCTGTGGGACTATTGCAAGATCAGGTAACACTCTTGTGTTTTGTTTAATAATAATAATTGTAGATTTAAGATTTATAAACCTTCAAGGTCTTTAATGTCAAAATTTAAAGGGTTTGCTCGCACATATCTAAACTAGTGCTTGTCTGTTCTTACCTAGGGAGAAAAAAAAAGGTCTTGTAATTTATTACCATGCCTCGTGTCTTGGCAGACCCCGGCCACTTGTGTTTGTTGTGGTGAGACTGGAGCGCTTGTTTGCACCGCCGTGTGTTTTGATATTTCATCAGGGCTTGCTAAACAGTGAGGAGGGCTCTCTGCCGCCCACCTCTTCTCAGACAAATTGCCTCCGAGATTGCAGAGGTGGGTCTGAGGCTGATGGATGGGCACACAAAGACCTGACGAGACCATATTTGCAAACATTAAATCCATACTTCCCTTATGCAGAAGCTGCTTGGCCGCAGGTCACCGGCAGTGAGTGATGCACCCAGTCCTGATATGAATGCTGCATCAAGGTGGCACTGAACAAATGTTTATCTTACATGTTCCTTGCTGCCTGTCCTGATGTGGATGTGTTCTGTTGCTCCCTGTTTTTCCTCCTCTTTTCAATCTTGCAGTCTCTTTAACCAGTAATTATATCCTCTCTTGCCCTGACCCTCTCTCCTCTCCTGAATCCCCCACAGACTTAAACATCCATTATCAATTCCAGCTCCATCATGTCTGAGCAGTACATCCATGTTGCACCCTGCCCTTCCTGACTGCCCCACGTCTCCATACTCATTTCCCCATCCTCTCAGTGATCGACCTCTCTTTCCCTACTTGCTGCCCAACCTGGCTGCTTCATACCCACCGTGCCATCTTCCTCTTCACCCTCCTCTCACTCCTTTGTCTTATATAAACGCTCTGTTCCCATCACTCTCTCCCTTTCCCTCCTTCTTCCCTTACTTTTTCTCCCCTTCCCCGTTGGCTTTTGCCTGCATTTTGCTGTTAATTTGCCTGAGAATGCATTAGCTGTAATGAAGGCTGAGGGCCGAGGGAATCCTCCAGGGTTCCATTAATCATCCCCCCTCAGACAGGCAACCTTGATTACAAGTGGCAAGAAATTCATTAGAGCCGGGCCTCTGACAACTCTTATCTCCGCCACTAGATCTGACTCATTAGGCAGCCAAATTAAAGCTATGATGGCCCTGATGAAACTCATCGCTTGTTTATCTTGTGCGATTTGATGCATCTGCCCATACATCACTGTAGCCACGACCGTCCGGACCCTCCCAAGAAGTCAGGCCTCCAGTCGGCGCTGAGCAGCCTGCACACTCACACAACCAAGCCAGTAATGAGCTCCCTCGCTTTCCTCCCTCCCTTTCTCTCTCTCTCTCTCTCTGCAGGTGGGAATGAGGGAATAGTTACACGTCTTTGCTGGAAAGAACTTCTGATATTTCAATTTGTGATTCAAGTAGCACAATGGCAGAATATGGAGTCTCGAGATTGAAGTGTTTACTGAATGTGCGGCTTAAAAAGAACAGACTGTTAGAAACTTTGAATGGATTAACACAGTAACCCGAGAAACTCAAGTCTGCTACACATTACTCTCCTCCAGAAAGCTTCTGCACGTTAATAATTCATTAATAATAACAGCAATATTATTTCTTTCCACACTAACAGCTCTAAACCTGCAGGATCTCAGTGATAACAGCCAGTGCCTATCATGAGTTTTGTCATGGCTCCTCATCGTCAGTCCCTCCATGCAGCGCATGCATGGGGTCTGAAATAGCTGTGGCACTCTGGCACAGTGACGTGGAAATAACCAACTATGTTAGTCAGCTCTTGGACCATAATCAAACTTCCACTGCACCTTCACACGATCATCACTCCTTGAATCCCCATGTGAGTGTCACAATCTTAATGCATGAGGTGGACGGTGAATTTAAGTTTACTACTCATGGGTGCCCGGGTCATGAAGTGTCTGTTTATGCTCTGAGGTCAAGCCTGTATTCAACAGAGGCGTGAGGAAAATTAAATGTAAAGATGATTATAGACGTCTGTTGCTATTTGAGATTAGTTTTTTTTTTAAAAACCCAAACCCACCTTATTGTGGCAAAAGTTTAATTTCATGAAATATTAATTATCTGAGGAATCCTGCCCCATTATCATATTTCAAATGATAAATAAATAAACGTGATCTGACGTCTACTGAATCTTTCTGGAATCACGAAGACCATCTGATATAAAGTTAAAAAAAATCCAACATAAGATTTTGTGCAAGCAGCTCAGAGACAGCGTGTAAACCGAGAACCGTGATGAAAGTTTTCACAAAAACACCAAGCCTTCCTCCTGTAATAGGGTAGCTGTTTCTGGTTAGAGATTATGTTAATACTGCTGGCATGTAGAGTACAATTTCCGATTTGATTTCATTTAGCACCGCTTTTATTCGCTCACGTCTGTTTCTGTAAGTACAAGACGAGTAACTGCATTTACTAGCTACAGGTCTGTGTATGTATCCTGAAGAAAATCCGCGTTTTAGGAGCAACATAGCTTCTTACAATCATAACATTCATTAGAAATCAAACTTATAAATATCGTCTACTTCGGCCATTGAAACAAAAGATGAAATACTTCATATTTTAGTAAATCTCGAAAGATGTCGACATTTCTGAGGGATATTAGTTGTATTAAAATGATGCATAAAGTATCTATTAGGTGACACAGCACCAATAAATTATGCCTTCAAAGCGGACTTTAATGCGTCCTATTAAATGACTTCTTGTTCATATTTAGTTCTTTTTGGATCGATTTACAAGAAAAAATTTTTAGCGCCACGAGATTAAAGAGCAGATGTCTGTTTGTGTCGGTGCAGTGACTGATAGAGAAGTTCATTACAGAGTGTTGAATGTGCTCAGCCTAATGAGGATCCATCAGTTCAGTTGAGACAACATGGCCTCCTAAAGAGAAATCAATCACTGCTGCTGCTACCTTAAAAAAGACTGTTCCACGTCTCAGGTCCTTGATGTATCTAAAATAAAATAAAAAATAAAATAAAATAAAATAAATAATTAATAGATTCTAAAAGAATTTGCAACTTCAGGAAATTAAGACTAACAGATGTGCAGCAGAAGCTATGAAATTACACAAAAACAGACATTAATGTGCTTCTAACGCCTCACTGAAACTCTCTAAAAAATGCTTTAAAAAGGTCTTCTAAGTCCAAAAAAAATGAACAGAAATATTTTTTATGATAAAATTTCAACGTTTCATCAGGATATATTTTTAGTCAAAACAGCCGCCTGACCGTAGTTTTTTTTTTAAAAATGAACTTGTTCAATAATCTTTCGTGATGTTTAAACAGTAAAGGCCACCTTTGTTTTCATTTTAGCGTAATCAAATGATTTCAACAGCTGTTGCTCTACATTTTAATAACAATGATTCAACCTGGATTCCAGCTTTCGTATAAAGCGATTTATTAGGTCAATATACTTTACAGTTGTCTCTTGTTTGGTCGTTAATTCCTTCACATTTTTTTTGTTCTTCCACAAATAGCTTTAAAAGGTGGTTTCTACACTTGCCAAACAAAAAACGCCTTAAGTTACATGCAAATGTCTCCAACAAATTGTACGAAACACAAAACAAACAAACAAAAAAATAAATCCAGAATAGCTTCATCAAATGAGGACATGCACATAACCAACAAAACAGTTTGGCCCTACATATAAATACTTAAAAAAATCTTTACAGTCGCATCTCATAGTGCTCATTTGTACCAGTTTTTACCCATTTATATTTACATATTAACAGAAACAATAAATAAAAATGAGAGCATATTGCCAAATAATTGGTCTGTCTGTGAGTAAATCCTCTTCTCCCTCAGACAAAATAATTGGAACATCCTTTTTGTGCTTCATGCGTTCAACAAATCAGTGGAACCTAGAGTCAAGTGTTTCTAATAATATTCTTTTTTTTGATTTTCATCTCAGTTCATGGCCTGGTCCCTTGCTCTATTTGTTGATGCTGACTCCTCACAGCGAACCTGTTGACGTGCACCGGGATGGGGACCACAATTTTGGGATTTCTCACCGGTTCTCCCGACCGGTTGTTGACGTTGCCCGCTTTGATCCGTTTCCACTTGGCCCTACGGTTCTGAAACCAGATCTTCACCTGCACCTCGCTCAGTTTGAGTGCGTGTGCGATCTGGGAGCGTTCAGTCAGAGAAAGGTATTTTTTACAGTGAAACTCCTTTTCGAGTTCGAGTAGCTGCTCGCTGGTAAAAGCTGTTCGTCTCCTCCGGCTCTTCCCTGCTGAGCTGCCGGTCGGTAGCGCCTCCTGCGAGCCCGTTTTTAGTTTGCTCTTCTGGGACAGGGCGCCGCAGTTGTTGCCGTCCGAGAAACTTTCGTTCTCGCTGTCCGCGGAGCTGTCCTCTCGGTCGCTGCAAACGGTGTCTGCTGATTTTAGGTCCAGCTTCTCGTCGTCTGAACTGTAGAGTTTGGTCTCGCCTAAAATGCGAAGATAAACAAAGAACACACGCAAACATACGCATTTAGTGATTTTATAGTTTATGATCCCGCAAATCAGCGGTGACAGCTGCAGATGTCTCACAACGTTGGACGACACTTGGTGTGTTTTGGGGGAAAAAGGCTGGCAGAGATCATGTGAAAGAACTTTTTTTTTTCTTTTTTTGAAATTTCAGAAAAAAATCAGATCAGTCATGCTGAATCATCAGCGGTTTGTTTGTGGTCACTCAGTTGTTCCATAAGTTTCCACCGCAATGCTGCATCCACATATAGACTGGAGTTCTTGGCATTTAGCTCTGTTTTATGCTATAATCAAGACTGGTTCAGAAATCATTCCAAATGCGGCCTTTTAAAATAGCAAATGTGCCTGAAACGGCAGTTCCCTCATAAAGCTTCGCTTTATGCTGCATACTCAGGATTTAGTAAAATGCATTTTAATCAAGAGCTCTAAATGTGAAAAGATGAGATTAACTAGAACTATACACCATACCTGCTAATTCATCTTCACCCAAGAGGCCACTAATCTCCGCTTTATCGCATTTTACGCACAGTGGTCACTTTTACGCGGCAGCCCCCGAGGCTTAAATATAATGAAAGAGAATGACTTGTAGAAGTGGTTGAGCCTACCTGATATTGTCTGAAAAGTTTCCGAGAAGTTGAGCATCTCAGAGCTCTTGTCCCGGCTGTGCAGCTCCTCGGAGTGTGGGCTTTCTTGCCTTCTCGCTCCCGGGTCGGCAGCGCTTAAACGTGGACCAGGCAGCTCTTGTGGTGGATAGAAACTGTCCGGGGGATCCGAGAAACTTGGCATCGTTGTTGTGAGCGCAACCATGGACGGCACCCCCTGTCCCAAACTGGCACAGAACGTGTTGGTGAGTCGTCCCGCAAAAGAAGCCAATGGCGCGAGTGGAGGTATACCAGACGATAAAGGAGAATGGGATAAAGCTTGTGGGATAACCAAAGGTCTGTATGGCATGAACATAGGATAGCCCGTGTAGAGCAGGTGTCCCGGTCTGGGCTGAGGGGTCCCTATCAGGGAATCGATTGAAAACGCCGTCCCTTGCCCGCCTGGTCGCTGCATTTTGCAGGCAAACACTTTTGTTCGGTGAAAACTTGAAAGCAAATGTCCTTCCGTCGACGACGAGCAAAACTTTCAGTTTAAAGAGAGCGTGAATTGAAAGTAGATCCTCTGCTGTGTTGTCATCCCTGGAAGTAGACCTCTTCTTCGGATATGTGCGCTCTAAATGCTTCAGTCAGTCGGACGCTTTGTTGTGTGCACCAGCGCTACCCTTTCCCTCTTATTTGTCACACACTGAGACATAAACACACGCTCCCTCTTTCTATCTGTCCCCTCTTTCCAACTCCTCCCTTCACCCCTCTCTGATGCACAGTGTGTGTGTGCGCGAGGAAAGAGAGGGCGAGAGCGCATTGGTTATCATCTGCAATACAAGAAGAATGAAAAGGGGGTGTTTCCCTGGGGGCTCATCCATCTTCCTCAAATTACGCTTCATTTCCTTATTCAGCCTCTGACTTTTTGGCCGTCTTGAGAGGCGGTAGTTTCCCAGTGGAGACCAAATAGACGAGTCACCCCCCTCATCCACCCCTCCTCAAGCCCTCCTCCCCTTTTGCCAGGTTCACCATTGACTGCAAAACGGTGTGAGAGACTGTTCCAGCCCTTCCCCTTCTATAATCGTTGACCACACCAACCCAATCAGCTATTATTAATTTTGATTGATGATAAGTAATTACTCTGGATTCAAGGGACAGCATAAAACAACGGTGGCTTTTGTTGAAATATTGGGACCGATGGGCATCAGAGTCGGGAGGGAGGAGAGGCAGATGTTTCTCCCATTCTCCGCGGCTAAAAACAATGCGTTTGGCTTCAGAAAGAAGAAGTGCCACGACAATCGCTCCCCGGAGAGAGAGCAAGCGAGGTAGAGAGAGAGCGAGAGAGAGATGCTGCTTGCGAAATTAGATTCAGATAAAAGCCGTTTGTAAGGTCAACTTCAGTGTAGACACAGACCCACAGTGGCTAAAGTTACTACCGGTAATCCCCAAATCTAAATCTATAAATCTATAAACTTTAATCTCTTTTGCTGGCCATATGCCAATTAAAACAACGTGTGCTTTTTTTTTTCTTTCTTTCTTTTTTTAGAAACTAAATAAAGCACTAATTTTACTGTGCGCTTTTGGAAAAGTAATTTGTCCCTGATCAAAGTCGCATAGGGTGGGAAGAAAAAAAATCTCTTTTCTTAAGCACTGGTTTAATCGCAGATCATCTCACCTTTTAAATGGCAATGGGAACTGATGATGATTAGCCCTATTGAGTCCTGGGTGCCCGGGCTCTCCAACTGGTCGTCTGATTGCATGAGGACATAAACATATCACCACCGACTCTGATTAGCAGTGGAGGGCCAGGGCAGGCTAATTCTTATAATTGCAAGTGACTTCAGCAGCACCTCGCTTTGATCTACTGAAACCATTTGCCGAGCTCGTCTTCCTTTCTTTTTCGGGTTATTCTGAGTTTACGTTGCTGCTCTTTGCGCGCTTTGTGAACGAAATTCTGTGATTGCCTGTTTCATTTCTTAAAGACCAATCAAGACTGTGTTAAAATAGGGCCTATGTTCTCAACCTCTTTATGACTAAAAACAAAGTTTTATACGGCAGGGATATAAAAATGATACCGAACCTCTATCTGCTGTCTGTAAATTCACATTAAAGCTGTTTTCCCCCCGTGTAATAATTTTAAAAAGGTCCAGATCGTCTCCATCTAAACTTTTCCACCCAGTAAGTAATGGAACAGGAGAAGCGCTCTTTTTTTCGCCCGTGTTGTTCTAACCTCAAAAACCAAATCTAAAAATAATTTCACAACACACATTCAAATATCTCTAAAAGTTATTCAACATATTTCTGCTTAATTTGATTTAAATTGTAAATTTTTGAGGGCATACTGGATTGGATACCGGTGCTTCCTAAAATATTTTTGTGTTATAAATTAGTAATTTCCAGAAAAACGCGGCAATGACAAAACAGCCAGTAAACACACACAGAGAAGAATGACTACAAGCAAAAACATGACAGAAAAATATAAAAACACGAAACATGAAAAGAACAATGACCAGATCATGCAGCAGTAGTGGAAAACTTTATTTTCATTTAAAGCCTGTTTTAATCATATATTCATATAATTACAGGCATCTCAAACGATTAATGCAAATATTTTGATAGCAATACTCGATGTGCAAAACATAATTACTATGCTCCCTAGAGCTGACCTATGATAATAACTATGTATACAATTTAAAGCAAGTCGTCCTTTTTAAATTAAAGTGTAAAAGTAAGAGAAAAAGAAAAGAAAAAGTGATCAAAAAAGTAAAGAAAATATAAACCAATATAGCTGCAGCCCCACTGCATAATTTAATAATTCTAGTCTGTAGCGCCCTCTTGTGGTGCAACATCAAACGTGTTTCTGCGCTGAGACATGGATCAAAACATGACAGGAAACGACTCTAAGTCTGCCTCCTGAAAATCTTATGTATGGCAGCACGCAACCTAAAAAAAATCTGTGTATTGATTCACATTGTTGGACTTTTCTCACCATCGATATTTGGTACAAATATTCACACTCAGATTGGACTTTTAGTGAATGTATCCTCTGAAATCCAGGAGAAGATAGTTCTTGATGAACTTGGGCAGATCGAGCTTTGGGACCACTTTGTGTACCCGGCCTTCCAGGAATCTCCTGAGACTGCAGCGAGCCAAGTGTTGCAACGAGCGAGGAGTCATTTCCAGGGAGAAGACTGACTCATAAAATTCTTTGTGTTCCTTTTTTGGACAGAAACACACAAAAAATAGATTTAACTGATGAACTGATACTAGATTGATGGCTCTATATTGATGCTTTGATATTCTGAGTTTAGTTTTGCAATCAGCTTATATTTAAAAATGAATGATTAAAAAATAGCTTTCTGAATATAAAATAATGATAAATTACTTAATGTTCTTTTCATTTTTAAAAGCCCTCATATTTATAAGAAACGACAATATTTTTCTCTACCTAAATGGCTGAGATGGGTCACTTTAAAAGTATTAATTTAAAGACAATGAAGACTAAAACATTTAACTAAACATAATAATAATAATAATTAAAAAATGGTAAACCTAATTCATAATTTCACATTTAAAAAGCTTGCCTTAAACACCTCCTCTGACACGGACTCAACCCAGGTGTCCGTGACTTTGAGGTGACTGTAGGCATTCAGGAGAACCTCAACAGTGCGTGGCGATTTGGAGCAGTGCATCAAAACCTGCAAGGTGCATCACAACTCAGAGCAAAGCAGTACGATTTAAACAATCAACATTTAAGTTCACGAGCAAGCATGTGACTCCATAGAACTGAAGAAATAAAGTAATTAAACACTTGTGAAATGAACAGATTGGTCTTCCCTCCAGGGGTTTAACTGGAAATTATGCAATTAGTGCTAATTAATCTCCTATTAACACTTGCCTAATTAGGAACCAGGCATTTTGTGTAGTGCACGTGGGTTCACTGATAGTTGTAGTCTGTTTCCCGCTGAGAGTGCAACACTTCATGTTGTGCCATGAGATGGTAATGATTTGAATGTGAAGTTGTGAAGTCTGGAATATCGCAAGGAACAGTGTAGTGTTTCAAAGAAATCTTAGTCAAGGTGTTACATGTGCAGTACTTGCTAATTATGCAAAATGAGCCACCTTGATGAATAATTGGCTGTAGCCGTGATAGCATGCTTCTCCACACGTTTTATTCTGATTCCATGTAATATTCAAGCATTTGGGTCCCTACCTTCGGAAGAGCACCGGGCCACACCCGAATGGAGCCGTGGTTGAGCAGAGAGCGGACAATCCTCTCAGGACTATGGGAAATCTTGTAGGCCACCACCTTCAGGATGTTGTGCATTGGAGCTTCACCTCCATAGTCCATGTTGTTAACACAGGCCCCATTTTCCAGCAGCAGATCCACTATGTCTGGGTTCGCATTCTTACAGGCCATGTGCAAAGGAGTGCGTTTGTCCTGTTCCTCAGTGTGGATGTTGGCCCCTGCGTTTATCAGTATCTGACACACCTTGAAATAATTACGGAGATCCTGTGCCTCCTGGGGCTGTGAGCAAGCAGAATTGATGGAGGTGAGACCCTCATAGTTCTGTTTGTCCACAGCAGCTCCATGACGCAGGTACAGCTCAGTGTGGTCTGGGAGGCCATTCCTGGCAGCCACATGGAGAGGAGTGTCATATTCATCTACAGTGCAGCCGTTGATTGCAGCTCCATACTGAAGGAGATACTTGGCACATCTGCAGACAGGATTAATAGAATCAGGTAGATCAGTTGTTCCTACACTTTAGATTTTTTTTCCCTTTCAGATTCAAAGGCATTTTAATGCATTATGCTTTTTGTCAGCTGTTTATATTACAGCAAAATTTACAACTAGGGGCAGCAGCAGTCCCAAATTTAATATATTTTACTGTCACTTGTAGCTTCACCTCCTGCTCCTGGAATATGTAACTCCTGAAGGAGGAAATGACAGAAACAACAGAATGTTTACTCTGCAATAAATACACCTTTTGCTCAGGTAAATATACTCAGGGGTTTTGTTTGCTTTTATATAACCTTGCAGCTACAAGGATACAAGTTCAAGTACTGGTGCTTAAGACTGACTGCACTAGATGAGGAATGAAAATACCCTTACATAGTTTTACTGGATTTCACTTACTCAAGGGATTCAGGGCTTGTACAAACATGCAAAGGCAGAAGGCCGTCCTCTGAGACAGCATTGGCATTGGCACCGTGCATCAGCAAGAGTTTGGCACACTCTGGTTGGCAGTTATCACAAGCCTCGTGCAGCGCAGTGGTGCCGCCAGGTGCTAGGTCAACATCTGCGCCGCGCTGCAGCAGGAGCCTCAGGCAGTCCGCGAAGCCTCGACCAGCTGTGATGTGAAGCGGTGTCGTCAGCTCCTGCTCATAAGTCAGTGACCACAGTCCTACCAACAGGGAGCAAAAGTGTCATGAAGACAACATTGAACTCAAGCCATAAAGTATATATGTCACATATATGCTTCAGCAGATATAGTATACAGCAGGGGTGACAAAAATAAGGCCTGGGGGCCAGAATAGGTATGGCAAGGCTTCAGTCCAGCCCAGGGGATGGCTTTTGGAAAACATTAGATAGGGAATACATTTTTGGATTTTCAACTGTAAATTTATATGTTTTACAGCTTTTCCCGCTATAAAATAGACATAGTTAAGTAATAGATAAAGAATGAAATGACAGAGAAGTACCTGTTTTTCTTGGTTAAAACATAAAACTTTCAGTGGAACAAAAACCTTAGGTTTTTAAATACACGATAGTCTGAGCTACCAGGCATT